TATTTTTTCCCAGGAGTTCTTTCGTCAACGGTGAGAGCAAAATGACAGGGCACAACTAAGTAGTTGCATAGACATCATGCGTTGCTAATCAAGTAGATGCCAACTCGTTGTCACCGCCGCCAGTAACTTCTTAGATTCGTCCCCTCTAACCCCAGCTCCCGGCGAAGACGTCGACCTTCTGACAATGTCGCCCCACGTTATACATTGCGACTTGCTGAATGACTACCTGACGGCGGACAGTATCACGGTGGCGAAGTTACTCTACGTCCCGATCAACCCAGTTTATCCACCACCAATACGTTCTAGACCTCGACCCCTGGCCTTACAGATGTTGACTGATCTCAGCTTGCGAGAGAAGATATTGCATGGGAAGGCTGTCGCTGGAGATGGAGACAAAGGCCAACGGGATGATCGAGAAAGTGAGCAAGATCCTGCTGTAAAGACATCAGCGCCAGAGGTCACAGACAAACTAGCTCAAGAAAGTCTGCGGTCTCGCATGCTCGCGCTATCGCAGTGCAGCCTCCAATCCACTGCGGATGAATTGCACCCCTTAGGCTATCGACTAGTGCAAGTGGACAAGATTTTTGCAGTGTTTGCACATGTGTCGACGACCATGACGACAGGGATAGCTGGGCCTGGGACGAGTGGCCAATCTCAATCCTATAGAGCAACGTCTTCAAGTGGCAACTATCTATTCTCGAAGTGGCTAGATGGATGGTATTGCAGTGCGACAAGTCGATACTTCCTGGGATTGGAGCGATGGTTTTTGAATGTAGACGAATACAAAGGCACCGATGTGAAAGCAATCTTTGATGGGCTTTCTGTGGGAGAGAGACGACGGATATACGTGGATCGAGGATTAGTGAGGCCTCCTTCCTCCTCGTATTATTTTGATTCTTCTGCTCTACAGGATTCTGGAGCTGAATCGAAGACCGGAACAAGCAAACACCAGAGAAAGGCGTCTCCAGATTATCAACACCTCCTCGAGTTAGTTTACACATCTCCCCGTCCTGGCGTAGCCGCTTTTCTAGAGGCTTCCGGTAGGGGTCATTGTGTCCGACGCGATTCTTCTGCGCCCAAGCTGTGCGAATGCTTTCCGCCTTACCGCGGTCCAGTGTGCGAGAGTGTGGATTTGCCAAGAGTTCCAGAGTCTCTTAGCAACGACGAGAAGCCCAATTGCATCCATTACATCATCGACGCAACGCATCTAGAGGAGCTCAATTTTGCTCTGGACAATTTGTGGCGGATGTTCAACAGAAACTGGGACTATCCGGTTCTGGTGTGGCATGATCATGGGTTTGTTCTTGATTCCCCCGATTCCGATAGTCGCGGTGTCTACGATAGGTTGAAGGAAATACTGCAGAAGACTCCAAATCGGGTATGGACTTATGTGATGGAAAAGTCGAAAACAGTGGAAAATTGGGAAAGCATGACTGCGGTGAGCTCATCCTCGAAAAACATTGCCCATCATTTACGTGCTGGCTATTCGGAGCAAGCCAGATATCGCGCAGGCCCTCTGTTTGAGCATCCGGCTTTGAGGAACTTCAGATTCGCTTGGGGTTTGGACACTGATTCCTATTTTCCGAGGGCTGTAATGGGGAGTGTGTTTCCTCCAGAATACCCCGGTAATGCGGAAATGCTGAAGAAAGAAGAGGCGACCAAGAATACTTCGGGAGGTGAAGGTGCACAACCGTCGCAGAGGACCCAAGCGCAAGCGCCATCCCTGTCTAAAGCATTGGGTTACAAATATATCACTCGATCGACGCCAGCAAACAGTCAGAATTTGTACTCGTGGACTCAGCTTTTTCTTTCGACGAAGCCTGAATGGATGGAGAGCAAGATGCTCTTCTGGCCGCGTCGGATGTCGGGGATGAAAGTGGGAGATGTGGAAGAAGATCAAGACTCTTCTTCAGGTTCAGAAAGAAGGAGAGAAAAGACTGGACAAGGCGAGTCTTTCCCTGAAAGTGGAAGCGAAGAGGACACTTTCAGCTCCTCGTCCTCTCTTCTGCCAAAAGACATGGCGAATTACGTGAGCAGCAGCGCTTCTTTGTGGACGGCATTCGCCACTGGTGCTGGGAATAGGTACGCACTATTGGCGGAGACTAGCGACGCTAGACAAGAACAAACCCAGAAGGGCGATGCTTCGCAACAAGAAGAGCAAAAAGCTACAGCTGCCCCAGCAAACGCGCCTGCTCCTCCAACGACCTTGTATGACCAATTGCTGATGACACTACCGGAGTACCCTCTTGGTTTTACGTGGTCTTTGGGTGTTGTAATGACAGACTGCGAGATCGTAAATTTGGACTACTTTCGACGCGCAGGCGTTGACCAGCAGAGCAGTCGTCCAAGCCTACAAGATGAAGCAACAGGGGCAAATCGCCACGCCGCCACCACTTACCAGCAGTACTTTGCCTTTATTGACGGGCTAGAGGGTCAGGTACGGTCTAGGTGGGGCGATCAAGCGATCCGTGGACTTGGGGCAGCTGTGTCACTCTTTCCACTAGAAGCTCAGAAAAATCGTAGTCTAACATGGCAAATGACTGAGGTGCCCTACGCACATCAGAGCTATTGCGATTGTGCGGGATGGCGATGCGTCAAAGTCTGGGACCCTAAGTGGGGTGAATTTAAGGACTTGGTGGTAGTTTTTCGAAGCAAGTGCGGAGTCCTGCTCTAAGGCAAGGCTTAGACCCAACAAGTCAGCATATTTCTGATAAACTACCACTACCGCATCAGCTAATGAATATCTCGCGCGGAGAAGCACGGCGGATTGGAGAAAGAGACGCACCAAGACGGATGACGCCGCACAGGTAGAGGAGAATGCAGATAGGGAAGTACTGGAAGAGATCCGCAATTGGAAAGCTAGGGTTGTGGGATATCTTAATTTGGATAGGCCAGGTGGTGGCGAGAATGCTGGATTCCTCGAATCAACGTGGAAGAAAAGACTATATTCTTGTGTACCACCCTAGTGCTTTTTAATGACAACTTTAATCTTGGCCTTTACGTTTTCCTCGTTGATAGCACCTAACTCCATACAACAAAAATCAGATACCATTAGCAACAAAAAGCCAAACAACGCGCGCGCCAGGTATGATGTAGATTTACGTTTTTCATTTCAGCGCGAACGTTAGCAGCGTACTTGAATGGAGGACTTTGTAAACCAAGAATTCTAGCGCCTGGCTGGAACCGGAGTAGTCAGGTATTCATTGTCGGTCAGAGAGAGGTGCATTAGCGACCTAGGAGCTCTGAAGCGAGAGATGTCTAACGTTGAGCTTCTCCGTTATCTTATCAACGACGAACAACAAAATTTGCGCAAAAAAGAAGGAAAATCGCTTCAACCCAAACGCGTCGAATTTTCGTGAAAATGCCGCTCCTCAATGCGAGTCATAAGCACCACGATAGACCCTTTGCGCAATTTCCGCGTCTTAGAATAACCCCCCAAATCCAAGCTCTTCTCTAGCACTAAGACCTAAGTGCCCCCCCAACGCCCGAAAATCAATACCTGAGCATCCGTTACTTAGTCTTAGACCCAAGCGCAACTTCGTATTACCAGCGCGACTGTTGAACAAAGATGGCCGGCGAATTCGAGCTCGCTAACCGTGTACGGTGGGTGGTCGCTACTTTCCTTCCAGCCTGTGTCGTGCAGTTGGTCTTCATCTACGCACTCACGAG